AAAAAAAAAAAAAAAAAAAAAAAAAAAAAAAAAAGTGGTCATTAAAATTCTATAATTATAAATGAAAATTATAAAATGCTTTTTGATGCAACAAAGTTCTGTTCCGCCATTTCCTATTCCGCGGTATTCTTCAGTTTACCAAAGTGGTATATAGCATAGAATCGAAGAACAGCAAATAAACAACAACAACAACAAAAAAGAGCAACAGAGCGTAATCAGCGTGCAATAAATTCAGTTTTTCACCATCGACAACATCAAAACAATCTTCATACATAAATATATAAATGTTTCCCCTACTTCTAGCAACATCGATTTGGAATCAAAAAATGAATTTATTTTGCTTCTAAGTAACTTTCTCAATATCTGATGGTCTGCCTTCAGACCATTCTAAAAACCTTTACATCTGAGTTACCACAGACTTCAGATACGTCTGACAAACTGCAGAACAAATTATTTGGCAATAATGCGTTATTGGGCTTTTTTTTTTTTCGTAAACCTGTCACAACGTATTGGAACTGTTAAATTTACCGATCGTTTAATAACAACAAATAAGCAAGAAAAAAAGTGCCCTTATAGTAGCGGAGGTATATAGATTTGTCAACTTAAGACCCCTGTTTTTTTTTCTCATTTCTCGTATTTCTTTTCTTTGTTCCTCAAATGCCCCTACCGTTGATTGTAATATCCAAAAATTATATAACGTCAGTGAATGTCAAATAGATAAACGTCATAGAAAACATCGATTAATAGATTTGTTTTCGAGGCTTTACTGACATGCTAAAAGTTCGGGAAAAAAAGAATGAATTCAGAAATGAAGAATAATTTTGATGTAGAAGAAATAAAGAATAAAAAAAATAAAGAATAATTTTGATGTATGTAACAAGCCAGTCTTATCAAATGTTATCATCAATTTCTACGCATAAGATAAAATACTTAAATAAAACATTAACTGGAAAATGTATATATATTTTTTTCCTGCAAAAATAGCGATAACTGTAACCATGAGTGAACAAGGGCAGATAAGACTTTTTGCTACCTCTCAAAAAAAAAAAAATAAAAAATAAAAGAACGGAGAAGAAAACCTAAGAATTGTAGTTGTTTTTTTTTTTTTTTTTTTTTTTTTTTTTTTT